TTTACGTAAGACTGGTACATAAACAGCTCTAATTCCTGCACTAACTTGTCAAGAGTTTCCGATTTAATTTTTCATATCAAAAATGAAACAGTGGGGGAATTGGTTTTAACTATTTTGATTTTACAAAATGCAAACTAAATACCTCAAATGTAAATGGGGTAGCCCAAAACAGATGTTGTCAGCTGAAGATGTTTACTTAACATCATTACTTCCGTTTACTTCATGCATTTCTTAAGACTTTTTTTAATAATCAGATTCAATTTCATAGTAACACCAGGACCTTCTCTCAAAAGCTTGGTATAAATAACGCCTTAGAAGGAAAAACTGCATAACTGAAAGTAAAATTAAAAAGGTTAAAAACTGGAACTTAAAAACAAAGAGAAAAGCTAAGTTGTGTCATACCCAGACAAAACTTTTTATAAAGTTCTAGATGCCAGAAGAAAGCTGTGCCTTAAGTAGCATTCTGCACTATTTCACCAGATGCACTAAAACAATCATCCCTGCAAGCAGAACTGTAAATACTGCATTTTTAATTTTGCTTGTTTGGGGGTTTAGACTTTTTTACCTAACAGGTGTTAGACCAAACCTCACAAGATACCAGATGATGAAAGGTAAGTTGTCACTCGGGCAACTATTTACCTTGAAAATTGTCAGCCAATTTTTTGGCCAAATTTAGAACAGCTAAATTACTTCAGCATGATAAAGACTTCAGGTTCTGGCAGGAATGGCATGAAGTCCCCACCACAAATAGCCAACCACTCCCACTCTCTATCAACTGGTATAAGTCGATCAACAGGCATGACTGTAAGCTTCAATGGCATCAGGCAGACGAGTCCGTTAAGCAGCTGCGTATGCTCCTGCAGAGGCGGAGCTGGGAAGAAAGATGTAGAAACGAAGACCTCAGTTTTGCAGTGGCACTTTGAGTCAACTCTTGAAAGGAATCCCTTTGACTTTATTCCAGCTGTAGACCAACCTAGAAAACTGTTTGTAGGGGGTTTTTTATTTTTAAATAAATTAATCTTCCAGCTGAGCATGTCTGGGTTGATAAGCAGCGAAGTCCCTTCTCAAGCCAATGCTATTTTCTTTCAGGTCACTTGCTAGTTTCTTCAGATGTTACCAGCATAGTCAAAAGAAGTACCAAAAAACCCGCATCCAGCATCTTATAAAAAGTTAAGCAACCTAGATAAGAGCTTGTAAAATTGCCTTTTTTCAGGAAATAACCAATCCAAAACTGTGATTCAGTACATTAATAAATTATCTGAGACACTATTATAATTAGATTTTGATTAACACTGTTAAGTCTCCTTTGTCTGGACAATGGCTTTAGGGGGAAAAAAAAAATCCAGTAACTTAAAAATTCTTTCAAATTGACATAACTTACAGGATCAGAAGCATGAAAACCAAGTTGGTACATTCCAGTAGCCTGTATTTTTCCAAAAGGAATGCTACTTTACATGAAATGTTTGAAGAAGAACTCTATAAGCATGCTAATAAAAATAAATACCTTTCCTGAACAGTTAAGTTGCTACAGAGTAAAGTGAACTGTGCACGTAATGGCTCTTTTGCTACACACAATGCAGTATTTTATTACAAACTGCCAACAAAAGGAGTAGACCACTAGAGAGCTTTCTCAGGTTTAATTTCCTCTCAAGACCAGATGACTGAAGCCAGCACACAGGTGAGAAAGATATCTCTTTGCCAGTGTTTAACACGTAGGCACTATCTGATACAGCTTTTTGTTTTTGAAAAGCAATGCTGAGGAGAGTTTCAGCTATGACTAACCAATACCCTTCCCTTCTCCACCGCAAGACAACACTAAGCACAATGAGGAAGAATATGAGCTCTAATAAACATACTAAGATAAAACAAGCTCAGCCAAGACTTTTCAGAACAAATTCAGCGCAACGGAAGTCTCTGCCTATGTACACCCAGTAAAGCAGACATTTTGGTAGAAGCATAACTACTGGGCATTTTTCAAAGAAAACTGTACATTTACTGGACAAAGCTATTAGCTTTGTATTAGGGTTGCGATGACTTTCCATTATGTAAACAAAATGTAGGACTTGGGTAAAGACATTCTTTCCTCTCACACACTCCCGAGAACAGTAAAGATGTCCTCTGCTGCTTACCTGGGAAGCGAGGCTTGGAAGAACACCTCTCACACAATGGGCTGTAGCTACCAAGATCTAAAACCTAACCCACAGTTTTCACAGCCACACCGCTAACAGAGCAATCTATGTTATTTGGACTTCAGATAATTACCAACCATCTCCAACCCAAGACTAGGAATATGCTCTTTTTATTTTTGCCTCAGGTAAAAAAGTTTTGCTAAACGAAAACAGAAAATACAGCCCAACTCTACTTGCTATGGAAGGTAGCGCACTATCCAGGCTGGGAAGAGAAAATACAGGGAAACCCTTCTTATCTTGCTTCAAAGCTTGCTGGTAGTTTGCAAAAAAGAGGAATCAAGTAGCCTCTCACCCTTCAGCTTTAAATTCTCTCATTCTGCTGTCCCTTCCAATATACCTTCCTCTTTCAGTTTACAACTAAACTGGTTTTCCTTATTTGAAGATCAGAAGAGCAATGTATTTTGACTGCAAAAATTTTTTTTCAGCATTTCACTATCTGCTTCTAATTGCATATTTATTCTTCAACCTGAAGAAAGGTTGACATACCATATTGTAAGGGGTTATAAATAAGAAGGGGAGGAACATCACTGAAAAAGATTATCTCAGACAACTTCAATATAGACAAAATACCAGATGCATATGGAAAAGACACTGAAGGTCAATCAAGATAATTCAGTCTGATTCTGTTAGTTAGAAGCAGTTTCACATTGATCGTTACTTTGGAAAAGTGAGTTTCCTGTAACATAAAGGAGGGACCAATTAAATTCTCCCCAACTTTAGCAGACGACAGTTTTAATACCTTCCAATCCATTTACTATTCCTAGACAAGTAGGAGAAATGTCACTATAAATCTCCACCCTATCTTTAATATGACCAGGTGTTTATAGCTATTCGCTTCAAGCAGTAGTTTCTGCTATTCATCTACTGCTTCTGCCTATTTAATCACATTTCATATATCCCATTTACTCTCTTCCCTTCCCATGTGAAATTCCTCACAGGAAAATACGGTTAAGGAATGTGTCATGGAACTCCCTTGCATTTTATTATGAACCACCATTAAAACATTCTCAAGGACTGTCAATAGACAAACTAATAGACACAGCAAGCTCAACTTCTTTTTCATATGCCTTTTCCTTTGATTTCTCTCTCCTTTTCCTTTCTATCTTTCAAGCTTCTGCTATGTTACTCCACAAACAATAACATTAGCTACATGATCCTATACCAAATATAAATCTCAGAAATAAAGAAGTTCTCATCCTCCTTGTATTTGTATTAGCCACGGGGCCCTTTTTCAAAGAGTTCAATTCTGACATCTGAGTTGAGCTGTATTATCATGCACAATACATGCTTTTTGTTACTGATGTCTATACCCCATATCCTCAGAGGTAACAAGGTGTGATGGAGACAAACCAAGACTTCCTGTGGTCACTGGAAATAGAAAATTTAAGAATCAAGATTCCCCAACAGAGCAAATGCTGTGAGCAGCAAATCGTCTGTTTGGTGCTGTTGTAGACAAGCCAATGAAGAGCAGGCTTATCTAGGTCTGGCTACCTTTACCTTGATAAGTCCATAATATAGAAGTCACTTCCAAAACAAAGTTAACTAAAAAACCATCTCTGCTCATTATTTTAAATTCAAATTTTAGAATCCAAAGGGAAAGCAAGTTTCCTGATATAGAATATACCAATATCAATAACTATGTAAGTATTATAACCAGTAGGCTTTTGAAACAAACCCAGTTCAGCAGCTCCTCCACAGCATTTGTCACTTAACATCATATTCTTCTCACATGCTTAAATAGGCATACAATACAAAACATTTATGTTTTACTTAAACATTTACGCTTTAGTATCTTAATGAACCAGAGCCTTGGATCACATGATTATAGTAAAACAGCAATTCCCAAGCTAGTTTGTGCAACAGTTCCCTCCCGAATTATCTCTACTGCTCACTCTGCCCCTCATAGCTAGCCTGGGCACAACCCTGCAATGATGAGATTAAACAGCTTCTGGTACAGTAAAATGTCTTGACCCTAAATCATCTCTCATGCTTTCTTTTAGGTAGCTACGCCCCAAAATGTGGAACGCGCTGTATCAAATTTACCAAAAAAACCCAGGTATGTTCATTTTTTCTCATGCTAAGAAACACCTGTTTTAAGAAAATAGCCTTTCTTCTCTGCTTACAGAGATAAAACACATTGTGAAGGTTATCATTAACAACTGTACGTTCTGAAACATAACACGAATAAGTAGTACTGGATATTCACATATATTCTTAAGCACAGCCTCCATTTTGATATTTACATCTTTGTTTCATTTCTGCTTACATGAGTTTTGTACATCATAGTAACACTGATATTAAATCAGTAGGAAACAAATTTAACAAAACAGCAGATGAATAAACAGCACCTCAGGGGGGCTGAAAATTTTCAGGGGAAAAAAAAAAAAAATAGTACCAACAGAAATATCTGGATTTTCCATGAAAACTTCATTTTTTCAGGACTGGGAAGATTGGGGTATGCTAATGACTCTGCTGCCTTAGAAGAGTGGTAGTTGATAGTCAGATTCTCAATTTGGTAAGCAGATCTTCTATAAGCACCGACAAACATTGTACTAGAAGTGCTGTTAACTAATATGACCAGGTGAGAGTTACAGGAGCTTATACTAAATGAAGCAAGGTGGGGCTATGTTCTACCATTACAGCGGTTTCTAATGGAACAATAGTTTCAAACAAAATCTATCATCACTGCATTTAACCCACTGTATTTTGTAGACTTCTGCAGCAAGACAATAATGTTACAATTATCATAATTTAAACCAACCACATGCAATAATAAAAAACAATTTTCTGCAAAAAGAGTAAAATAAATACCTGCAGGACTGCCAGCATTTTCTCCTTGATGCAGCTGAATACCAGCAGAATCTATAGAGTTTACTGTAACTGTCTGTAGATTTGGCAATTGAGCAGTGCTTAGACTAACTGGAGTTGACGTCAACGCCCCACCTGCTGCAACTTGACCAAGAGTGAGAGTCTGCACGGGGGTTAGAGTTATTTGTTGACCAGGTGCATTCTGAATTTGCAAGTTCTGCAAGTTCTGAACTCCTTGCACTTGAAATGTCTGCCAGGTTATCTGCCCAGAAGGGGTCACTGTTTGTGCCTGAATTAAAAAAGTTCCAGGATTCAGCTGCAGTTGAAGATTTTGAAGAGCTTGTTGAGATATACTTTGACTTGCTTGCACACCGTGGATTGTCTGTTGCGCAATACCTTGTACAATCTGGGCTTGACTGGTTGGCTGCTGAGACTCTTGAAGCTGTATGTGTTGTACAATTGGCTGTGCTGTGGAGACCTGAATATTCTGAGCCTGTGTGTCATCAGAGACTGATGTCTGGATGTAATTTCCCTGAAGATCAGAACTATGAACCTGACCACTAGTTGTGGTCAAGTTGTTTGCATTTTGTTCCAATATACTTGAACTGTCTATGGTAACGGGCAATTGTGATGAAGATGATGTTGGCACAAATAAGTCATTATCAGTGGCGGTTTCCGTAATTTCAGGAGAAACTTGCTCACCAGTCCTTTCAGAAGTATCTGAACTATCCATGGCCTGTCCAGTATTTATCAAGTGCCCATCTGCATTAATGCCTGCTGTCATGGTTTGAGAACCACTGCCAAGTCCCAGAGAATCTAGATCAACACTATTGATGGGTACAAAAGTAATATTTCCTGGCAGTCCAAGAGGGACATTAGTAACTACTTGTGCTTGGCCAGGGAAAGACGAACCACCAATTGCAACTCCCTGAACCTGGACTTGACCAGACTGTGATAAGATATTCTGAATATTAGCTGAAGGTGTTCCAGAGGCAATGATGGTTTGATTAGAGCCCGGAATGATCTGAATTTGACCAGTTTCTTGATTTATACTGCTATTATCAGAAGAGGCTGCAAAGCCAAGTTGAACCTGCTGACCATCCGCTGTCTGGATCTGGGGTATTACTTGGTATTGTACGTTAGACACTGTACCATTCGACGAATCTGATCCTGGTGCAACAGAAAAGATTTGTTGATTTTGCAAACTCTGAATAGGAAGGACATACTGCCCACTTGAAGTTACTGTGGCAGCACCTGGAATCTGTACTATATTACCAGCTTCATCCTTTATAGTGGCAGGAGCTGCAGACAAGACCTCCCATCTATTTGGGGTTCCTGTTAATTGCACAGAAGCCAAATCCCCTGTCTGAATAAAAAGAAAAAAGAAAAGACAAAATTAAAATGAGACACGTACAGGCTATATGCTAGAACAGTCATGCAATTCAACACTAGAGATTGATACACTACTGGAAAACATGCAATGCAGCCCATATGAACAACAGCAACTGGATTAGAACTATGAAATACAGATTTTGTAAGTGAGCTAATGCCTAAGTCAGGGTAACCAACCTGTGGGTCGTGAGCTGCATGTTGCTCGTGAGCAGGTCAAATGCAGCTCCTGTGCCATGGCTACGTCAGGTGACCAGCAGCAGGGTTATTCTGGTGTGGGGGCTGCTGGGTAATCCAAACCCCTGGCTGTGGGAAGAAGTGAGCTGGCAGGGGCTGCTGGAGCTGTCATCACCAGGTTACCCTGGGACTCAGCTACACTCTTTACCTATCCCAGCACCTATTGCACAGAAGCAGAGGAATCGCCGTGAAGCCAGTGTCACCTTTATCTCCTGGAGCTCCACTGCCTTTTGACTCTGTGTTATATATGGTACAGATGTGCATGTTGCGACTCTCAACAGTACAGAGAGTGTTAAGAGGTGACTTAGTCACACAGTTGGAAAGATTGGGTAGCCTCCGTTTAAGTTACGCATAATACAAAGTCCTAGTATTTATAAGCCTGTGTGAGTTACTGTTTCACTACGGAAGAAGGCCTCTAAACTAAGGACTTTTAC